TCGCCATATGCTCGTACTTCGGGAACGCTGTTGATGTCATCATTCTGCTTCGTAGTATAGGCTAGATAGGATCTGCCACCTGTAGTCTGGGCGCCGAGCGCCAATAGGATATCAACTCTGGTTCGTAGTTGATGATGATGGGACTACTTCAGCATTGTCAACTTTGAACTCTTGGTGTGTTCTTATTTGGTGTATCTCGTGATGCGAGTCTGCTGTGGTTCGAGGTCAAGACTATCTGGGCTCATATGTATGATGCTGTTTGATTGCCAAAGTTCGCTAATGCTCATCTTCCTTGCATAAGCCTAACAGTGGACAGAATAACCGATGAGGTTGAGGTTTCGTCTCTCATGCACCCCCTGTTTTCTCTCCCATTCCTCATCTTTCTGTGCACCTTCTGTAACCCCTCTTTAATGCCCTTTGTTTCCCCCCCCTCCCCCCTTCCTCCAAAAAGCAGAAAAACTTACATGAACGTGCGATTACCCGGAGTCGACAGTGGCGTAGGGATTTCCCCACTCAGATTGTTGTACTGGAGGTTCCTGATGAGACAGAACAAACAAGCAAATATAGAAAAGCACCAAGTCACTGACGACATAGGAACACCTTGTGTAGAACAGCAGCAGGCAGCCAGCCATCTCAAAGTCGGAGCAATGCTTGTATAGAAATTATTCCAGGCAACAACGAAATAACAAATCATTCCAGTTAAGCCTGTGTGAAGAGACCACCATTTCTCTATTGAAAACAGTGTAGAAAACTCAAGTAGTTTCGCGCTGACACTGGTGTCCATGATGAATGAAGTGCTCTTGTCGTTCCACAGCTGGTGCTCCGATGTCGTCTTTGGTATCCTCGTACATGAAGAGCCATCCTAACACTGCAAGAGTCACCCGGATCTGACAGGCGAGTGGCAAGAAGAGGTTTAACAAGCTTGTGCAGGGGAAGCCTAAGCTGATATCATAGCATTGCCAGCTGGTCCCTGGATTGAGGCACAGCCAGGGTCATCAGTGGATTAGCCAGTAGTTGTTGTCCATGGCACGCCCGTGGGGCACAGGAGCCAGAATATTCCGACTTGGCAGTTGGTGATGAGATCAACCCAGTAAGGGCGAGTGTGCTGCGGCTGGTCACAGTTCGAATGTTGAAAAAGTAGAAAGGCGCTAAGACATGGACACTAGGCGCAGGGTGTGGCACTCACTGACGGTGTGGGCGCGCTTCCTGTATAATGTACGTTGTTGTCACTTCTCAAGAATCAGAGCACCATCTGAACAGACAAACAAGCAAGCAAAAGCAGGGGAAAGAAGGGATTGGAGTAAGAGGGAATGAGAGGTAGTACCCAGAGCAGACAGCAGAACGGGTGAGCGTCGGATCAACCAGACCACTATGTATGCCAGGCAAGAAGGAGCAAATTTATCACCCCTATGCCCAACCGTTGCTAACAGACAAGCAAAGCCCAGCCTTGCACAGAGAACAAATAGGCCTGAAAGTTCAAACGTTTTCCCTCATACACTCGCTCAGAGAAACCAATCATGCCTCCGACAGAGCCCCATGTCACTCATTATCAAGGTGCCAGGAAAGGTTTGGATCGATACGCATTGTTGGAGACACAAAGAGGGGCACAATGGGCAGTAGAAAGCCACGAGGAGAATGCGCATGCTCTCACAGACAGGACGCTAGGGAGGGTTTCCAAAAGGCAAAGGGGCACTGAAAGAGCGAGTCAGCAAAAAGCTATGAGTGGAGGAAAGGCAGCGTCGATGCTGGGCAAGGACAGCATCACCAGCGCACAACAGATGAGAACCACATCAAAGAGAAAAAAGGGAAAAGTACACAAAAATCACCCACGAAAACATATTCATGCCACACCATATGCATATTTCGATCAAAGTTGCTGCCATCCGGTAGAATTGACCTTTCAGGCTGAGTATACAGAGGAGGGTTGTTTTTTTCAGTTTGGCAAAATAGTTTGTTGTGACTGGAGGTTTAAATATCATGTCTGATTCAACCGAGGAACAATTTCAATGGACTCAACTTACAAATTCTGTAAGCTGACGATGTTCCCCAAGGACTCTGGTATTTCCCCTGTCAAGTTGTTGTGGCTGAGGTCCAGCGTTACCAACTTTGAGAGCTTAGCAATGTCCGACGGTATCTCCCCTGTGAGTCTGTTCTTGCTAAGTACCCTGCATATTCCCAAGCAACCACCTCAATAACCCCGCACACACACACACACACACACACACACACACACACACACACACACACACACACACAAGCAAACAAGCAAACAAACAAACAAAATGTAATGTTGGATAAGATCCCTCAGCGGAGAAGTTATAGACTTTGCTACAGCAGATAAAGAGCACCATAGAGACGAGAGACTACGGTTTTGAGCTTTTAACACACCACAACCAAAATGAACAAGTAAACCCAGTGCGGCTACACCCGCACAATTCTGAATAATTATCTCAGGACTATAGTGTAGGCAACAGCCCAATGCAATCTCTCTCTCTCTCTCTCTCTCTCTCTCTCTCTCTCTCTCTCTCTCTCTCTCTCTCTCTC